TCTTTAACTCAAGGCGATTAAACCTTAAATCAAAGAGCACCATGCTCTGATACCAATTGAAATCACCCTAGAGGGGGGGGGGGGGGGGGGGGTGTGAATAGGGTTTATGCTAGTCTAGTCCGATTTTATGCCAATTAAAACTAAGTAACAAGTTATCCTAGCAAATATGATATACTACAAGATATATGCAAGAATAAACAATATAAACAAGGGTGAAATAAACAAAAATAAATAAGAGTGATGGTGCACAAATAAACCAACACAAACACTAGCAAATGATCACGGAGTTTGGACCTTCCGTCCTACGTCTCTGCTCCCTACTCCTTGGGAGAAATCCACTATCACGTCGGGTTTTCAACACTCACCCGAAAACGTTTACACCTCATACTCAGTTTTTTAGCTCACCGAAAACTTTACAATGAACACTCTTACAATCACACTCAACACCCTCTAAGTGTTGGTCTTTATCCTGTGTCTCCATCAAGTGCTCAGATTTACAACCTCTCCCTAGACTTTACTATCGACGCCACTCCTCTTGGGACGATCCCGTCTCTCACACACACTTCTCTCGTTGTACAAGTGTACTACAAAGTGTATCCTACAAATAGGCTCTCTACAACAAATGGTATTCTCTAATTTGGATGATAATACAATTAAGCTCACACTCTAAGTCACAAACCCACAACCCCAAATTATACTATGTTTGCAAATACAATAAGCTCAATATAGGTGTGTGTAACAAAGAGATAAAACAAATATAAACTCAATATAAATCTAGCTGATGAAATTATGTTCAAATGTATAAAATAGCTAGGATTAAGTTTAAGAAAAACTTCTCTGAAAAACAAGATGGAGAGATGGAGATTGAAGCTCAAACAATAAAGATGATCTCCTTCACTTGTGAAAACTTCTTCACAAACCAAACAAACACTACAATAAACTTAAACCCTTTTTAAATCTTTGTAAACTTGTATAAACAATTTTCTTATATAATCTTAGGTCTGAGGTATGAGGGGTATTTATAGAAACCCTAAAACACAAGAAAAACAAAGCAAAAAGTCCAAAAAACCAAAACAGGATAAGGCTGGAAAAAACTAGCCGTTACAGCATCAGTCGACTGATACTGTTCATTAGTCGACTGATGAGATGACCGTTACAGGCCATTAACACGTCATCAGTTAACTGAAGGACTTCGTCAATCGACTGAAGACCTCATCAGTGGACTGGTTAGTCGACCAACATAAAAACAAAAACTATTGATGATTCCAGGCATTTTCATCAGTTGACTGAACACTTGCATCAGTCGACTGATAACATATTATCAGCCTGATTTTTGAAGTGCCTTTAAAAATAGAAAATAAATTCTAAAAAATATAAAACTTTAGGAAATTTTTATAAACATGTTAATGAAAATGTTACAAAAAGAATTTATGAAATTGCTCTTCATGTTTGTAAAATCTCATCATTTTTCAAAAGTAGTCCAAAACATGAAAATACAAAACACTTGTTTTTGTCATTTTGACTTAAACAAACTTTTAAAACTTTATCAAATGATTTTATAGACTTTATAAAAGATATAAATAATAATTATTAAGTCCATAAACAAATAACTCAATATTTTTCCAAATACAATAGAATACGAAATATATAAATATGTATATGAATGTATATTTGTTTCATATCTATATCACTAAACCAAAATTATTTATCCACATGAAAACAAACATGTATGTATACAAATATTTATTTTGCTTGTAAAAATTTTATTTGTGGATAAAATAAGAAAACGGATAAACCAATAAATTATGTGTGTGTATATGATATTGAGCTTAGAGTATTAAACACACATAATAGAAACTTCTAAACTAGATTACCCAAGTTATAGGTTTTTAATAAGCTTGACTTGGTACACTTGCGGATGAAGCTTGTACTTAGATCTTGACTTGAATTGCATTGCTTAACTCTACTATTCCTTCCATTCTCCAATGGATATGATCATGAAATCTCGATTTTATCTCACCTCCAACTTATTGTTTGTCTACAGTAAATACAAAAACACAAATACTAGACAAACAACATTAGTAGTAAATTGTTTGTTAAACATCATCAAAACAAAAAGACCAACATAGTTTTCAAGAGTAAACATAAGGCACGACATAGAGCCCTGACAACTTAGTTCTCATCGAGTCATCTAAGGCATTCAAAGTCCTTGGTATCAGTTTTCAAGAGTAAACCCGAGGCACATCTCATAACTATGACGATTCGGTTCTCATTGACTTTTCGAAGGCATTCAAAGTCATTCGTACTGGTTTTCAAGAGTAAAACCAAGGTACAAAGTAGAGCCCTAGCGATCAGTTCTTATCGACATGTCGAAGGCATTCAAAATTATTGATAACAGTTTTCAAGTGTAAACCCAAAGCACAATGAAAGCGGCTCCGCATTCGGTGACCCATTAGAAGCCTCCCACAAAGCTTAGGTATACAACACCAAGGCATCACTTGGTCTTCACCAATTTATTCAAAAAATGAGAATATTCATGTCTTGGTTCTCACTGACTCGTTTGAAAACATCTCAAAATCAAAGCACAGATGAGAAACAACTCATAACTAAGTGCAAAAGAATGGGTCAATAAAATTAAATCTTTCATTTGTTTGCAAGAGTATTATGGGGTTTTTATTACAAAGACTCAACAAGAAAAATGACATAAAAATATACATAACCTTCTTAGGAAGTAGAATCTGGTTCAAGGACCAGGGAGCAGCTTGAGCCGAGAGCATCCGGAGTAGGGGAATCTAGCTGGTCGGGTGAAGAGGATGAGTTGGCTTCGTCGTTAGAGTTTTCACCCTCATCTTCGTTTGATCTACCATCAGTCTCCTCATCCTTCTTCAGTATCCCTAGCCCACCTTGCACATCGAGTATCTTGAGGACATCGAGATAATCAGCCAGTCATGAGGGATATTTAAATCGGTCCTCCTTTTACAAGAGCTCCGAAGGGAGTTGTGCCTTTAGAAAATCAAACCCCACCTTATAGGTGAGTGCTACCTCAACTTTACCAAGAGTATTGCTGCGATACTTCTCCATTATCTCGGTCTCACAACTTGAATCTAGATGAGCCACTCGGATCTCAAGCTCCTAGACCCGTGCGAGGAAAGAGTTACATTGCTGCTCAACCTTATGAGCCACTTTGGGCAGTCTCCTGTCTGAGAGTCTCCTAGAGAGTCACCTCTTCCTTCAGCCCAACCTTCAACTTCTTCGAGTCAAGACGAGCCACATGGGCCCTCTCAAAGGCATCTTCTTTCTCCCTCCTCTCGGCTAGAACTATTGATTGTAGATATGCAATCTTCTCCTCAGCAAGACCCATATCATGGTGAGAGTAGCTTAGTCCTCTTTGAGGCCCTTTATCTCCTATTGGGCCTGTGCTAGATGAACTGCTCATTATCGAGAACCTTTGGCAACTGCCTTGAGGTCCTCATCCTTGCAAGGTAGCTCACGCTGAATCACGGGTTGACTCCTCTTAAGCTCATCAACCTCACACCCTTTCGAAGCAGCCAATACTTCAGCTGCCTCTTGAGCCTCCTTGTGCACCTCTAGCTCGGCCAGAGCTTATGGAAGAGTTCCAGATATATTTTGAGCCAGCGAAATAACTCAGACTCTAAAAGAGGTCCCCAGGCGAGGTAACTTCTAAGAGCCTGGTGGAGCCTAATGTCAGAAGTCTCTCTCAGTAATGATAGGGTAACCAATTTTATATACAAAAAAGTCAACAAGACTATATTCCATTTTTCTCCTCATATATAATTAGATCAATCACTGACCTTAGTGTGGGCAAGATGTCAGAGGAAACAACCTCCAGGGCCTCCAACCTCTAATAGAAATTACAGCTCAAGGTTTCTAATAGGAATGATCAGCCATCAAAGGAGGCTAAGGGACCCCAAGATTATCCTTACTTCACCTAAATCACAAATTAACTTTCTAACATCAACAGTCCAATATTATACCTTGGAAATTATCAAGCCTAATGAAGCCTCAAGAAGCAGCCACGTGTAATAGTTAGCTAGCTGACTCATATATATCTGAAAGCATGACCCGGGTGTGGAGTTAGCCGACCTACCTCGTGAGCTAAATCCGAGACAAAAAACATATTTGACCCAAGATCTACTAGACTAAACCTGAGTAGAAAGGATTCCCCACTCGAACCCGAGACTGAGCATCTCGAACAGTGGAATGACCTGTCAACTTCGTTAAAAGCCACATCACATTTAATGTATGACCGGTCAGCACTCACACTTCGCCATCGATATTAATGCAATGCCAGTCATTATGACCTTCTGAGCCAGAGTCTTCAAAGCTCCTCGGACCGCACTAGTACTTCAATAGCTTTGTTGTTATTCCAAGGGCGACTCGTCCTACCAATTGCAAACTAATGCAAATTATGGTCGGACCCATCACTGTATAAGCCCTGCCAAATTACCAACGTGGCCCTGTAGATCCTCTATAAATAATGGTGACTTCCACCATGTTAAGGTAAGCAATTTTGCACACGAAAAGTTAACAAGACTATAGTCTATTTTTCTCTTCAGATTAATCAGATCAGTCACTAACTTGAGTGTCGGAGGACACGCCGGAGGAAACAACCTCT